GCTGTGAACCTTATTGAACTATCCTAGACGACTCACCAAAACATGACCACTCTCCTGGACATCGTCGGCCCCGCCTTCCCGCCTCTATGGGATAACTCCATCATGCTGGGCATCCTGTAGGTCGTCTCCCCCGTCCTCCCATAACTTTTCGCTTAATCCAACAGCCCGTTCTACCACATCTACGGTCAGCTCTACGCCTCCTCATTTCCGTACTGTTCATAATGCTCGTAACGCTAACCACCAGGTGCCGCCAAACTGGTGCACTTCCCCTTCTCGCAAGGCTGCCCCGTGATCATCCAGACCAAATTCGAGCCCGACAAGTTCTGCGCCGTCATCCAGCGCTTCCGCGTCACGCACGCGCTCGTCGTCCCGCCGGTGCTGGTGGTGCTCGCCCGGCATCCTGGTTAGTACTCACTCCTATGATTTCATGTTGCATCACCTGCCAGCGCTTATGGGATTGTTCGTTTAGCGGTCGACGAATACGACCTCTCGAGCGTGAAGGTGCTGTTCTCGGGCGCGGCGCCGCTGGGGCACAGCCTGGTGAAGCAGGTGAAGGAGCGGCTGCTCGCGCGGCGCGGGGGGCGCGGCGAGCTGGGGATCACGCAGGGTGGGTGCTGCTTCCTTCTTCCTTCTTCCTTCTTTCCCGTGCATACTTATCCTGGGGTGTGTGGCAGGGTACGGCCTCACGGAGACCTCGCCCACGACGCACCTGCTCACGGTCGGCGAGGCGGACCGCAAGATGGGGAGCATCGGGATCCTGCTGCCGAACCTCGAGGCGCGGCTCGTGGAGGACGACGCGGGCGCGGTGGATGCGGAGGAGGGGAAGCCCGGGGAGCTGTGGGTGCGGGGGAGGACCGTTATGAAGGTGGGTTGCTCCTCGCCTCTCTCGCCCTCGAAAGAAAAGAAACGCGATGTTCTTCCGTCTGCTTTTTGTGGGGGGCTGATCGAGCGCGCAGGGATACCTCAACAACCCCGCGGCGACGGCCAACGCGATCACGCCCGACGGGTGGTTCAAGACGGGGGACGTGGCGATCCGCGACGGGGAGGGGTACTATTATATCGTCGGTGCGTTCCGCCGCTCTCGCCTCGTCGATTGTGCTGGGTCGCTGATGCGGGTACTTATATTGCAGATAGACGCAAGGAACTGATTAAATACAAGGTGCGTGTGTTTTTCTGGCTGCTGACTGGGTGTTTTGATTTGGCGCAGGGCTTCCAAGTCCCGCCCGCGGAGCTCGAGTACGTGCTCCTGACGCACCCCGAGATTGCGGACGCGGCGGTTATCGGGCTGGAGAGCGTCAAGGAGGCGACGGAGCTGCCTAGGTGAGTCGAGTCCATCTCTGCCATTCGCGCGTGGATGGACGCTAACTCGCGCAGAGCGTACGTCGTGCACGCGCACCCGGAGAAGGTGAGGAGCGCGGAGGCCAGGGCGACGTTCGCGCGGAGCGTGGGCAGGTGGATGGAGGGCAAGGTCGCGCGGCACAAGTTTTTGCGGGGGGGCGTTAGTGTGATTGATGCTGTGCCGAAGAGGTGTGTGCTGCTCTCTGCGCTCATGCAGCGTCGTTTTTTTGGTGACTGACGACGGGTTTGCAGCGCGGCGGGCAAGATTCTGCGGCGGGATTTGAGGGAGCTGGCGAAGCAGGAGGTGGCGCGGGGGGAGTTGGGCGGGGAGGTGAAGGCTCGGCTGTGAGCGGTTGAGGGTTAATTTTATTGTATACGCGATGTGGTTTTTTATTACTCGTTTATTTCAATGTAATACGCTGAGGGAGTCGGTCACGAGCAACTTGTCATTCGATCGTATAACTACAGTGTCGAGTACTATTCATCGAGGATGGGAAACCTGCAATTGCTTGTCAGCGTCAAGGTCTATGCGTGGACCACAAGAGGAAGAAATCAGAGGTGTCAAAAGTTTTGGAGCACACCCCACGAGGGTATTCATCCATGAAGAAATTCAAAAAAATCCAACGCATCATGTACGAGAACAAGGAAGAGAAGCTCACCTCCGGCCACGGCGGGAAAATCCAGCAAACGAAGAACATCAAAGTTCGGGGGATAAAAAAATTGGGGGGGCCGCGCAGAATGTGAGTGAGCCCCATTGAGTTGAGGACCCGCGGGGGGTCGACAATCGTATAACTGTGTCTATGAGCAACAAATTGCGCGACGTGGGCAGACCAGCCGGGCAACAGGCTGCTCGTGTCTTCGCAGCCTGCGCCGTCGCCGGGTGGCCTGCCTGTAGCCAGGCAGCGGAGTGGCTGGGCCGAGCACGGCGGGCAGCGTGTGCCCGCGCGTGCAGAGGGGACCCGCCGTCCTCGCCCGACCGGCGTGCTTGGGGCCGGTTGGTTTCCATTGGAGGGCGAGGACGTGCTCCGGATCTCCGGGGACTTTCCCCACAGCAGAGGGAGAGCGCCGAAGCGGCTCTGTGCGGGAGCTGCGACGACGATTCTTCAGACTGCGCGGAAGTAGAGTTTCATCTGAAAATTTGGGTTTATATATGTTTGCAGTTTGGCTCTGTTGTGATTGCTGTGCAGCTCCGACGCGTCCATCATGGCCACTACGCAAACCACTCCCAGAACTCAGCCTGCCAGGCCGGCAAGTTCTTCTTCGTGTTTCTACAAATCCCATTCTAACTAGACCCCAGGTCCTATTCGCCAGCCTCCCCACAATCAAGGTCATCGAGCCGCCGAAAGGCAGCTTCTCGACCCGCAACGACCAGTGGTGTCTCACCTACTGCTCGCAAAACGTCAGCGGCCGCATCCACTCCAAGGCCCCGTGGTGTCGCTCCGTCTGCATCCGCAAGGTCTTCTCCCACGAAGTGCGCAACATCCTGCAGTTCCAGAGCCACCACGACATCGGCCCCGACGGAAAGGCGCGCTACCCGCTCCCGCCAGAGGGCCAGCCGCTGCACCTCCCGCGCTATCTCGGCGGGAAGCCGCTCGAGGACCCGGAGCACGGCAGGAAGGCGCCGGAGGACACCAAGTTCTGGGACGAGGGCTGGTATTTCTGGAAGACGACCAACTTCCTGGGGGTGTACAGCAGCATCTCGCAGATGCAGAACAACCTAGAGCGGCAGGTGCGGCAGGAGGAGTCGAAGCAGGCGAAGCGGAAGCAGTGGCTGGAGTACCAGGAGTTCCTCAAGTCGGGCGAGGCGCCGACGATGGAGAATAAGTGGATGGGGCCCGTCGTGCCCCCGAATTTCGGGCCGGATGCTGCGTACGTCCCGAGACTGGCTCGCCATATTTCGAGTGCTTACTTTTCTGGCTAGTCCGGACTCCCTGCTGGTGCCTCTCCCGCTCGAAACCGACCCACTGCTGCAGCCCTTACACCAGCTCCTCGCCCCTGCGCAGCACTCCTTGCAGCTATTTCGGGACAACCTCGCAGAGGGCAACTACCGCAAATTTGCGCTCCGGGTCTGGGATAAGGCCCTGACCGGCGAGCCCTTTACTCTTGCGAGCCGTGCTTGTAGCTTTGGCTACGAGCAGTGGAAGAACAAGAGCAAGGAGTCCGATGACGATGACAAGGAGAAGGAGTCGTAGGTGGTGCGCGCGGCGCGGCCTTTAAATTGTATCGACGACATTCATTGTAACTATACTCCCCGCATACCATCATACCGCACTTTAGACTGTACTTGAAATAATTAAATAACCCCAGTGCTTTTGAATTACGGTTTCTAAATTTTGAATTGACGTGTGTCAGTGACGAGAATCTCCTCGAATGGGCCAGTCCGGACATGTGATCACTCTATCCAGCTTTGTCACTGTCAGTGCACTTATGATATCCCGTCTTATAATGCCTGACTTGCGCTCCGTCTGTTCCTCTCGAATCCCTGCCTCGTATCCTGAAAGACTTGAAGAGGCTTTTACGTATCCTATCAAAGGCTTCACACCATGGCCCAAAAAAATTCACCCATCGAAATACAAAACGTGAAGCAGTGGAACGAGACCCTCCGCAGCGCAACCGCCGCCGGCATGACTGTCCTCGTCGACTTCCACGCGACCTGGTGCGCCCCGTGCAAAGTACGCACATACACGCAAATCCTTCCACACTTTCGGTCATTAAACAATTAATTCTGAATCCAGGCCATCGCGCCGCGATTCAGCCAGCTCGCGGCGCAGAACCCGCACATCCGCTTCCTGCGCGTCGACACGGACGCGCAGAGGGCCATCGCGGCGAAGTACCAGGTCACGGCGATGCCGACGTTCTACGCCATCCGGGCCGGGAAGCCCGTCGATATGGTCCGTTCTCGCTCGCTCATTGCTCATTGATTCCGGGCTGCGCTGACGGGGGTGACGGGCGCCAGATCCGCGGCGCAGACCCGCAGGGGCTGGCGCGGCTTGTGCTGCAGCACGGCGGCCCGAACCCGCCGGTCCCGCCGGTCCCCGAGGCCGCGGAGGCAGCGAAGGTCGCTGGGAATGTGGGTCATCCTCACTTCTACTTGCAAACTCCCTATTCCTCACAATGTATCCATTCCCCGCAGGCGTTCTACAAAGACGGGCACTACCCCGAAGCGATCGAGCAGTACACCGCCGCGCTCGCCCTCGCGCCCGCCTCCGGCGCGCTGTACGCCAACCGCTCCATCGCGCACCTCAGGTCCGCGCCCCCGGACCCCGAGCGTGCGCTCGCGGACGCGCAGAAGGCGACGGAGGTCGAGCCGCGGTGGGGGAAGGGGTATGTGCGGCTCGGGGAGGCGCTGCAGGCGCTGGAGAGGGACGAGGAGGCCGCGAGGGCGTTTGAGACGGCCGTGGAGCTGTCGCAGGGGCTTGGGAAGACGGAGGCGAAGCAGAAGCTCGAGGCGGTGAAGAAGAGGCTGGGGTGGCATTAGTTGTAGTCTCGTTGGTGTGCAGGCATTTCCAATGTATCGATAATTCATGGGACTGATTTGTATCGTGCTACAGGTCGGTCTGGTTGATTATTGAAACTCCAAAAATGTGGAATATGGGATGGACCGGCGCGTGCTTCATAACTTTTTTATGCGAACGAACAAAAACCATGTACGCACAGTACCATGACAGCAGTGGGGTTCGAACCCACGCCCTTTCGGACTGGATGAATAGGAAGTACCTAATTCCAGCGCCTTAGACCACTCGGCCATGCTGCCTCCGTAACCTCACGTCAAAAGAACTTTCAACAGCTCGATTTCACCTAAAATAGCTTTTTGAGAAAGACTGCCACAGCGCCTAATAGACCACTCGGCCATGCTGCCTTCGTAACCCCAACAAAAAGAACTTGCAGCGACTCGATTTCACCTAAAATTGAGGAAGACTCCCAGCCGCCGTACAAAGAGTCAGTTTCCTAATTGGGTTGTTCGGCGTAGTGGACAAATAAAGGATCCTGTCCGATCACAGGCATCATTCCGATTCTCCGAACATTCAATTGGCCATTTGGCTCATTTTTTCTTCCGCGGGACCAACCGACCAGCAGGGTATTATCAATCGCTTACCTGACGGTAGATAAGGACATCATGGAGAGAGTCGGTTGATTGAAGCACTTTGGGAGCAACAACGCCCGCAAGCTGCCCAACATGAAGCTCGCGATCCTGTCTCTCTTCGCGCTGGCCCTCGGTCTCGAGGCCCAGTGCCCGGGCTCGGACTAATCTCACCGTCCAAACGTCCACGGGCACCTACACAGGGCTCATCGATCCCAAGTTTCCGAGAACCCGCCAATTCCGCGCCATCCCTTTCGCGAAGCCGCCGGTGCTGTCGCGCCGCTGGCTGCCGCCGCAGAAGCTGTCGTCGCCGGCGAGCGAGCATCACTATGCGACGCGGTTCCCGCCGTCGTGCCCGCAGTTCGTGACGGCGGTGACCTCACTCTATAGCACGAACCTGACCAAGGGCAACCTAATCTACAATGGCAACCAAAATGACTCGTCGGGGCTGGTGGGCGAGGCCACGTCCGAGGACTGCTTGTACCTAGCCGTGTGGACGCCGACGACTGCGCCGCCACCGCCCGACGCCGGGCTACCCGTCCTCTTCTTCATGACAGGAGGCGGCTTCATACTCGGCGGCGTCGATATCCCGTGGCAGCTGCCGCCGTCGTGGGTCGAGCGGTCGCAGTCGCACATCGTCGTCACTATCAACTACCGCCTCACCATCTTCGGCTTCCCCAACGCCCGCGGGGTGGCAGACGGCCAGCAGAACCTCGGCATCCTCGACCAGCGCGCCGCACTCGAATGGGTCCGCGACAACATTGCAGCCTTCGGCGGTGACCCGGGCCCGCATCACGATGTGGGGACAGTCAGCTGGGTCCCTCGCTGCGGATTTCCATGCCTATGCTTTCTACCAGGATCCTATCGCCCAGGCCTACTTCTTCCAATCGGGGACGGCCTTCAGTTTCTCGCCGCCCAAGGATCTGTCGTTTTCAAACTTCAGCTTCGTAGCACGCCACTTTGGGTGCGAGGCCCCTTGCCGCGATGATGACGACAACGGTGCGGCGGAGCTCGACTGCATGCGCCAGGTGCCGTTCGCGCAGATCGTGAACTTCATCGGACAGTATGGCGATCGGGGCGCGGACGCCCCCGCTATTTTTCAATGGGGTTACCGATGATCGCATCATGTTCGCCGACTACAACGCGCGGTCCGAGGCAGGCCTAATCGCGCGCGTGCCGGTCATCATCTCGTCGACCGCCAACGAGGCGTCGACGATGGTTCCGTATCCGGTACAAAACCTAACCGCGGGCCCGTACCAGCCGACGGTCACCGCCAAGGACATTACAAGGATGTGTGAGATGCTGAACTCGACCGTGTATCGGAACCGGATGGGGGTGCCCGTCTTCCGCTTCCAGTATGCGGGCACGTTTCCCAATATGAACTACTACAAAGTGGCTCGGCGCGTACCATGCCAGCGACCTGCCGATAACCTTTGGGACGTATGAGATTCTAGATTTCATCGCGAACACCACTAGGTTCGAAGTCGAGGTCAGCCAGTCCGTGCAGGACCATGTTTTGGCCTTCGCCAAGGATCCGTATCATGGCCCACAGAAGATGGGCTGGGAACCACTGGTCGCCAGTGATCCGCATGGTGGAGATCTCATCCGCTTCGGCGCCGACGGGAAAGTAGTGCAGCACGTCGATGGTATCGAGATAAATGGAGCATGTTCGGGAGTACATGACTACAATCCCATTCCCTTGAGAGAAGGGTTTAATTACAATCTCGACATCTCATTCTAAAGAGCATTGGTTATCAATATACTTCCTTGTGATGTTCCTCCTCGTCAAACACAATATTGGAGCGAACAGTTTCGGTCAGCACCCAAGACTCTTGAGCACCATACGCAACCGAAGCTTCGTGGAAGATTGTACCAAGAGTTGGGTGAAGCTCCCTGTCCATTTTCAGTAAGAAGTGAAATTGCCCACCCTGGTTTCAATGTTCGTGTAAGCGGCTTATCGTCGACCGATCAGTTACCGGTCAGTTTCATCTTGAACCATGCATTTAGACGGACAAGAGAACACCCATCCATCGTTTCTGCGTCCGCAGGGATGTGAAAGGATGGTGGCTAAGAAAAAGGAACTAATGGATGTGATGGAGGATCGAAGGTGAATACAGAAAAGTGCGGGAACGTGCGCGAAGGAATAAGGAGGAAAGGGCGAAGAAGAGTGAATGGTCAGAACGTGCAAAGAATTTTAAATCCAGCGCGAATGGAATATAAGCGTGCGAAAAGTTCAAGTCCACTGAAAAAGCGAAAGCGAAAGACGAGCCAAAACTCACGTCATCGAGACCCATATCCGCCCCTCAGCACCCTCGTACCCGAACGTGGCGCGCACTCGAGAGCTGCGTCGCAGAATTGTGGTCGATTCAGCGGTGGCACGCGTTACATTCGAAAATCCTACAACACTCCTCGAGTTCAATGCTCTGACCAATGCTCTCGTTGATAGGAAATACGCACCGACACATAAAGTTCTCGCTGGTTCTAGATTTTACTTCAATCTGATAACACTGGTGCGAGAGCACGACATAATGCCCGCCCTTCCTATTGTGCAATCCTGTGCGGCTCAGTGAGATCCGTTGTGATCAGACCTGTACATCCAACCTGACCGATGCACTAAACAGGCTAACATCCTCGACGGCATACAAAGAGAGGACAACACACTGGCATCTCTGCCTTTGGTCAATATGCACAGATGTCTGATTGGCCGCAAAAGGCTGGTCAAGTAGGTCCAGCCAGGTTCTACTAACACTAGGATGGATTTGAGAATGGCAATCTTCAGACTGCAAGGACACTTCATGCTGGGCGTCAGAAAATGTGGGACAAGTTGCCTGCGATTCTTGACCTGCCACCTTGGGACGAGTTGAAGAATGACCTGTAGACCTTTTTCCAATGTCATTAACTCCGAATCGGCCCTCGGTATGTACACATTCAAATTGCAAAGCTTCCTTGCGTACTCAGATTTCTTGTACAGTAATGGTATCCCTTAGGATTCGTACATTGACAACTTGATGAATCTATCCTGCTTCCTCTTGCAAAAGCGTGTTTGACCCACTCCAGATTCCAAGCCATACTATGCAGTGTGACCGTCCTTCCCTTCCGGCGACGTGAAGCTGTCGAGCACTTTATAGTGCAAATAGAGAATCTCTCAGACATGCACATCAAAATTCTGTTCTATTTTGATGATGGTGGAACCAGTTATAATTGCAGCCAAGTCAATGCATCCTCATCTTTGATTTGGGTTCTGTTCCACCCTGACGACAGCGGAACCAGTCATAATTGCAGCCAAGTCGATGCATCCTCATCTTTGATTTGGGTTCTGTTCTATTTTGATGATGGTGGAACCAGTTATAATTGCAGCCAAGTCGATGCATCCTCATCTTTGATTCGGGCATTGCTGGAATGGCACCATGCAGACACCAGTTCAAATTGTGCTAATACACCATGAGGCCCGAAGTTTCTCTAGTTTGTCTGAATAAAGCAGTTTAAGTCTGACCTGGGTGTTATGTGAATCATTGAATGTACAAAGGTGCCGAACATTGCCTGGCAGAAATCAGATATTTTTAATGGCTCAGCGGATCATCAGAGGATGTCTTTCCTCATCAACTGATGAAACAGTGATTTAAACCTCAGCATGTGTTTGAAAACCGCCCTGGGAACAGGCATTCCCAGGCCTCGGCATGGACTTTATATAGGTAGAAGGTAGGTGCACACCCCCCAACAACTCTTAAGATGCCTTCTCAGCCCACTGCCAGTCAAGTCCGACTGAACAATATTACAACATGTTTGATGATGACTATCAATGCCCTGCAATTGCTTGCTACCAACTTTGATACCCCTTTCCTTCAAGCCATCTTGAACACAACACGGTCCCTTCTGGATCATATTCAGGTAGAGTTCGGGGTTTGCTTTTATAACCATCCTGGCTCACCACTCTTCTCAGGCAGTCAAACAAAACAAAGACAGCTGCGTGCAGTTGATGGAACAAACCTACACATTGATCAATGCAATTATAGTTGTCCATGGTTCTGCAACCAGTGGGGTGTTGCCACCAACTATCCTGGAGAATATTGGAAAATTCACTGAGCATGTTTCTTGCAGAAAGACAATCTTTTTTGTACTGACAATCCATGTAGGACTCTGCATAAAATCCACACATTTGTGGAGGCTCAAAGGACTGGCAACAAAATCAAAAAATTCCTCCGTCAGGGAGAGTTGAGCATGTTGTTCAGGGATTGCCAGTCTGGTTTGAAACAAGGACTGGATTTCTTCCAGGTAAGCCTATCACTGTTCTGGGAGATCTCATTGATGGATACCATGCAGATTGGAGGTGCCAATATTATAACAGATCTTCAAAGATGCGACAGGAGGCAGAACAGAGAAACCAGGAAGTGCTGAGGATGATTGGAGAACTCTCTGATACAACTAGTTCAGATGGACTATCCATGGTCAAGAAATGTTCCCCACTTTGCCAATATCATACTAAATTCTTTTCAGACAAGCCGTGTTTATTCAGGATCCTACAACAGGTAGTGATTTGATTCATCCAATAATTAATTACTCATAGTAATCTCCAGCTCAACCTCAATCTCAATGCTACCCTCAGAACCAAAGATATTCCATGGACGGGACTCTGAGCTCTCAGATATCCTTCAACTTTTCAACCAGGGAACCCC